GTTTATTAGTTATTGAACGGTTTTTGTTTTTTTGTGTTCCTTGAGTATTTAAGTGAACATTTATTGTATAAGTACTATTATTTTAGAGGTGATGGGAGTGTTTGCCGAGGTTCCGTTCAACTTGGTACGTGACTTGCTATTTAGTATATTTTATAAGCTTCAGTTTTGCTAATTTAATTTAATTTATATTGAATGTCTCTTTATGGCACCTTATGATGTTTTAAGTCTTGCAAACGAGCAAGTTAATGATTCGGTAAGTAACGTATTAAACCCAAAAACTGTATACTTGGACGTACGAAAATTACACAAAACAAAGTTTATTGTTATTATGCATGACGTTGTCGTTACCTATTATTTATTATTGAACGTGTAAAACAATATTATTATCTTTTTCTTTTTGAGACAGTATCAAATTATTTTCGTGCAAATTTAAAATTAATTACAACATCCTTTGAAATTTTACACCACCGAGTTTTGCAACCTCACCCCCACACCCATCAAAAAAAAAAAAATAAATAATAAGCGAAACCAAGTAAAAGTTTCCTCCCCTTTCCGACGGGAAATATTCGTCCACTTATAATTATTAATGATAAATAATGTGTTAATTACTGTGCCAATTATACTGTTGTGTTATTCGAGTTGAGCCTCTGCCTTGGCGTTGGGACCGTTAGGACTTAAATAGAACGTGTAACAGTCAAGTACATGGTTTAATTAAAACGATATAGTTTTAAAAATCATTCGAGCTTCGTTTACAACATCTTTCACATGTTTTCCGACCGGCTCGGATAGGTCAATCGAATAAAACGGACTTGTTTGAATGACATAATTCAAAACGTCGTTTGACGAGCAAGTTCAGATAGCGACATTTCGAATAACTCTAATTGGATATAATTCTTCATTCAGTCTCCAGTCGCCAGTGAAATTATTATTAATTTAAATCCAAAACAATATCATCGACTAGACTAAGCGCCGAAAGCTCCAAAAAAATGCAACTTACTAGAATCGGTAAACATTTCTTTGAACATTTTCCACAGAACGGACATCCTCCGACCTTTATCGTCATACTATGTTTGGTATTTATATTGGAATAAGTGCTTAAAATACTTTTGAAAAGTATTCTCGGCAGGAGGGCAAATATTAGAAATTCGAATGGTAATATTTTATTAACTTCTACGAAGCAATTGCTTTATTATGTTTACTGATTAAAGGCTTGTCGATGCCCCGAGAATTCAACTGCACGAACTGGGCCTCGTGTAAGGAATGCTTAAAGTCGAGTTTGGCTATTTGCTTTTAAACGCATTTATAATATAGCTGTTCTCTCAACTCTCCACTCCTTTGTTATCTCAATTCTGACATTAAAGTTCTCCCTTTTTATAGATTATTCTTAATTTCTTTCTACATCAGTCTTGTCCCGTGTTCTTAAAATTAAAGTAAATACTACAGAGGTATAAAATATTTGTTTTTTGTTCGTTAAAAATACATTTTTTGATCAAATAAGTATAATTTATACACACACATATAAATATAAATATATATATTTACCACCGCCCCTCCCCTGAGATTAGCTCACATATACTCCACCGACAACTGGTAAGACGTTACTTGAGTATTGATCCAGTACCGTTTTTGTCTTTTTCTCTCTCTCTTTTTCTTTCAAACAATCGTGTTCGGTGCACGCGAATTACCTGTTCACGACGTGGAATAAAATCTTCGTGTAAAAATTCTTTGCACATTTCACGGCTTGAACTTCGATTGGGGACAATAATGTGTCATGCGGAGCCAGTCGGGTAAAACAAAATCCATAACACCGATTTGAGAAAATATTCGTTTCAGACCTACCGTGGTCCGTTTGTCAATTTTGTCTATCATAAGTCTTTGAATAGCCTCCCCCCCAAAAAAAAAGCCAAATAAAATAAATGTTTCAACCACTACCCGTTGAAATGGTCGCTGTTACGTTTATTTGATGATGACGTACGTTATAAACATGTATTTTGTGTTGTTTGTCCGCATTATTGTTTGTGAGACTGTTATTGATTCAAGCAAATCGCATAAATTGGTACTACGGCATAGGTGAAATTAATGAATGGAAAAAATAATTTTTGGTGAAAGCTAATAAAAAACATTTTTTTAAAAAACTATTACAGATGATTAATATGTGGATGCTGAAATAATGCATTTAATCACAATTGTTAGTCTTTATTATCTTTAATTTACTGTTTGTCATCGACGGTAGTGTCTTAAGAATACGAGTATAACATACAACTTTTTAACTTACACCGATAGTAGTACACAAAAGAGTGGTACTTAAAAATTCAATTTTACAACTTTAACCTGGACGCTTCCTAAAAAGTTTCTAAATACAGTAAAAATGAGATAAAAAAAAATTAAATTATTTTAAATTTATTTATTTTATTTAATTATTAAATCAAAATACTATAATTAGGTTTTTGGTGTAATTAGTATTGCTCATTAAAAAAAACCCCAGTGAGCCGCGAAAAGTACTCACAATAGTTATGTGTAAACATCTTATGTCGGGTTCTACATCATATACAATTAAAAAATAGAGCTGAACTTATCATATGCGAGAACTTTATTGAGAAACTATTAATATTTTATATCGTTAATACTACTTTATCATTAACGCTTATCGTACATATAAATTGTATAGATTGTGTAATATCTTTAGTATTATCGGTTTATGTTAACTATAATAAGATACATAAACACGAGACTGTAAGCTATCTAATTTCCTCTGGAATACTGCATCTATGACTGTGCCTGATTGTGTAGTACTCACTTGTCTATCTGAGTTTACGTGGAGGTTAAAAGTGTATTTTAGAAATTTAATAAGAGTACTGAAAGTACTGAATTTGACGTTAAAATCTCCACTGATTAACCAAGGCACAATGTGATAGTTATTATTCAAAATACCTGGCAGAAGTACAAAGTGGAGAAAATCTATACCTGATTGTATAATATGTCGGTTTAGGGAAATGTATACCAGTCATGAGTATTGTTTGACCATTTATTATAGTTTACACATGACGATAGCTCTTATGGCGCTCTTCTTATTCCTTTTGTTGTTCCGCGTGTTGGGCATAGCTTAAATGTTACAAAAGTTTTTTTTTTTGGTAAACGGAATCGATCTTCAGTTTATTTATTTTACGTTACGGCCTAAATATATAAATATATATTAGCTTCGATGCGGAGCTGAGAAGGTATTGTTTTTACAATGATGTGTTTTTATTTTTTATTTTTGTGTCTGGACCCACGATAGCTCGTAAACCGCCGAACCGATTTCTTGGTGTCGCAACTCTATAGATCAGAAATCATACCTGGAAGGTACTTCCAAAAATTAAAAAAAAGTCACCCCTTCCCCATCAAAATCGAGAAAAACTCCTAAAAAATGTACAAACTTTTCAACTTGCAATTACGATGCTCTATAACTTTTTTAAAAATAGTCGAAAATGTTCCTTATTTATATGAATTGTTCTTCAAACATAGTAATAAATAAAATTATAATAAATTTTAAATTTAAAAGTAAACGGATTTGGGAATTCCGGTCCATGAGCGTCTTACAGTACTGAGTTACGCACTTGTCCATGATTCTAATTTAGTTTAAATGGATACAATTTTGTAACTAAAGTACAATATATCAATTATTATAATCAACAAAAACCATTTGCTTTGGTTTTGTTACGGCCTAAACGTTTTTTTAAATTTTGTAATCTATATATTCACTGTTTATTAAAATCTCATTTATAATTTTTTATTAAATAATTATATATTAATTTTATGTTACGGTCTATGTAATGTATAATATATTTTAAAGTATTATATTAAGTATATTATATATTTCTAATTTTCTATTCTGTTATACGTATTCATTACATTTAATCAATACAAAACTTTATACTTAACCCTTGTCTCGTTAGGCGATGACAATGTAAATAACAAAATTGTATTGACATAGATTTTAGCCCGTCTTATGACAAATACAGAGGTACCACCAAAATTGGTTCAGCGTAATTTTCTAGTATAATTTACATTGTAATTTCTTCACAACTTGTCACAAATTAATAACATCTATTACATCAATATCTGTGTTGTTTCCGTCAAGGTAATATACAGATTGTAAATTGTGGGTACTAGGGTATAATGCGTGGATAGAATTATTCTCAGCCACGGGCGGTAGTACCATTCACCATTGGACATATATCCGTAACGTTTACTTCCGTTTACCGGTCAAATTTAACTCCATCAGTACCACTTCCGTTACCACTACTCCCGGTATTTGCACAAATTTACCCCTACCCAAACATCGTGCCGCGCGTAAAGATGTTTACACACAAAAAAAAATATTAGTTTAAATATTTGTAAACATGTTTTTATACTGAAATGATGTTTAAAAAAATTCGGAGTAGTTTAATCCAATTTAGCCTATTTATTAACAGATATGTAGAAATACAGAATTTTAAATAATAATTAAAGTGATAAAATGTAAAAAAAAAAATAATTTTTTAAGCACATTTTGTTGTTATTACTTATTGCACAGTAAAAATTTCATTTTCATAGGTCTAACTTAAAAAATTGATTTTTAAACTCGTTTTTTAGATTTCAGACCAATGTGCGTCATGCCCTCCGCGAGAATTCCTTCAATAAAAAACAAATAAAAAACCCCAAAAAAATTAAAAATTGGACAACACGATGTTACAATGCCGACATTGAATGTTGCAGCCGAAGGTTGCACGGGTTTTTTTTTTGTCAGTTTAGTTAAATATTTTTTATCTTAACCATCTAAACGGTAAGTCATTCCCGGTAACCAAGAAAATATAATCAATTAAGTTAAGCGTGAAACTGATTTATTATGATTTTAAAAGTGACTCGACTCACGAAATTACTTAATAGTAGCTGGATAATGTACCACTCGGATCCTTGTCTTTCAGATGTAGACAAGAGCTCCACAATTTTGTTAGTGAATTTTAAATGTTAAGAAGTATTTAAGAAGTTTTTCTTCTAGACACGCACCCATTGGCTTTGCCAATGAGATCGGCCATCGCCGCGTGAACTTCCAAGTTTCGGATGCGGACATCGCTCAACGGATGCGTGGCCATCCACCAAAATAACCGACTGAGCCAGGACTCATACTTGGACATTTTGGCCCAGAAGTGGACGGCCTGGCTGTGGTCCACGCAGGCGGCCGCCGCCAGCACTAGGCCGTACGTGTCGGCTTCCAGTTCTATGCGCCTGCTGCGGGGCAGCCTAGCCACCAGATCGTACGCCAACTTGCACAGCATTTCGGACGCGTACACTTGGTAGTTGTTGGACGCGAAAAAGTAGGCTGCGGTCAACGGCAGCAGTTCGGCCACGTTGTACAGCCGCTGGTGGCTCATCTCTTCGGCGGAGTGCCGGAGAATGCAGTGGGCCATCTCGTGGGCCACGCACATGGATAGCTGGTCCGCGTTGTTGGTGAAGTCCAACAGGCCGCGGTAGAAGAACATCGAACCGTAGGGCAGCGCGAACGCGTTCACATCGGACTCGTCCACGACGAACACTCTCCAGGGCGTGGCGCCGGCCATTCCGGGGTTGGCCAAAGCGACTTTATGCACTATCCCGGCTACTTGCCTGTGCCTAGTGCTGTCTTTGGCGTAGCCGAACAGCCAGAACTTGGCCAATTCGTATCTGGTGGACCATTCGTCGATTTCCGCCATCTCGCGGTCGGTGTACAGGCTGAGGGTGGCGCGTCCCGTGTAAGGGTTGACGACGGTGTGGCGCCAGTAAAAGTTGGTGGCCATAGCCAACGCGAAGGCTGCGGTGAAGTACAGTGACACCTTTGAGTTCTTCAACGTCTCCACGTGCCTAGACCGTTCGGCCTCCGTCAACCGTTTCCACCACCACCGCAGCCCCAATCCCACCATCATGGCCGTCATGTGCACCGATACTGATATGAGTTCATCACGGAAAACGGCGGCCGGCAACTCGAACATCGCCGTACAGATATCGTCAGTCGCGAATGCCGCCATCAGGCCCGCGGCAGTGGCCAGCACCGCCATGCCACCGTATCGCATCGCGGGCCATTTGGCCAACAGCGAAGGCCATCCCCTGGTGAACAGCCGGAACGCAATCCACTGCCACCGGCCGAACACGTCATTCCTGCAAGCAATCCGCAGTGGCTGTCATAGGTTTTGGTGGTCAACGCTTAAGCTATTTACCCATTTATTTCGAATGGACTCTTTCCTATTAACGTCATGCCCGATCCTTCCCCGTGAATATCATCAGCGGTCGATTTTTGGTCGCAAACAATATTGTTATTTATTCGCCATGCTTACGCTCGTATGCGGTTTGTAGCCAGTAAATCTCAAAACAACAATTTAGACAGCCGCCTGTGTGGATTTGACAGTCATGCGGTAATGTGAAATCCAACTCGAACATCGCCGTACAGAAGATGGAGAAGCGCGTGGCACAGGCTGTTCTGATAAGTAACGTCAACTGCTGTCGAATCCGGACAGTAAACATTTCATAAGCACATTTTAATTGACCTACAAACTCACATGGATTTAATTCGTACCTGGTTTAGTAAAAGTTAAATAATGGCCAACGAGTCAAAATCAGCACTATTACTTTAAAGCTTCGCCCTCTAAATGTCTCCCTATTAGATCAAACGAATCCTGTATTCACTTTACAAAAGCTATATACCTCAATTTAACTGTAGCTGGACAATGTACCACTCGGATCCCCGGCTTTCAGGATGTAGAAAATGAGCTTCACAATTTTGTTAGTAAATTTTAAATGTTAAAAAGTATTTAAGAAGTTTTTCTTCTGGACACGCACCCATAGGCTTGCAATCGCCGTGTGAACTTCTAAGTTTCGCATGCGGACATCTTTCAATGGATGCGTGGCTATCCACTAAAAGAACCGACTGAGGTCGGTCTCATACTTGGATATTTTGGCTCAGAAATGGACGGCCTGTGGTCCACGCAGGCGTGCGTGCACCAGTGCGTGTTACGAGTACGCACGGATGAAGTGAAACTTTTTCAGAGTCATTCAACTGATACATTAAATTAGCGATATCATATTATTGGCCAGACTGTAATTTTTAACCACATATAATGAATTTCAATAAGAGTTTCCAAAAACCATTCAATTTTATATTGATTGAGAAATCTGGTAAAAATGTCTTATATATTTTTTGTTATTTTATTCTTTATACTATGGAGTTCATTGAAAATGTGTTGATTATACTCCTTGTTTGAACAATTTAATTAAATAATTATTTAAAAATGGAATTGAGCACCAACTATTTGAAAAGTTTGGAAAAAAACCTTAATATTTAATTCAAAACCTATTCTTCAGTAAGGCAATCAGCTTAAATTAGATTCTTTTTGCACAATCTCCATTTTGTTAATTTTGCTTTCTATTCAAATGCGATACCAAAGTTGTTATGACTATTCATATCAAAGTGGTCATTTCAATTTCCACGAAAAGCCAACAGCATATTTTATTTACATTTGAAATTTGTACAATTTTCAATATTCTTTAAATACACGTAATGATACAAGTAATGATTATTATGCAAAATTAACTGCTTATCTTAACTACAATAGAATTATTTAGGTACAAATTTTCAGTTAAAAAAAAAATTTTAATTTACAATTCATTAATACTATATACCTGTTCATTTAACATACGTTAATCATGCGATATCATATTCTTGGCAATAATATACTGGATGATTGGTTTAATAGTAGTTTTTTTTTATCTGACCACCACAACCTTCATTAATACAGAATTAATACAAATAACCAGTCTTCGCACATTAGTGCATCTTTGCCAAACATTTTTTTTAAAATAATTTTTATATTCCATTGATAATATTTGATGCATATTATTTCAAATAATTTTACTCGGATCCCCGGCATCACGACGTAGACGAGAGCTCCACAATTTTGTTAGTGAATTTAAAATGTTAAGATGTATTTAAGAAGATTTTCGCCTGAACACACACCCATTGGCTTCACCAATCAGGTCGCCCATGGCCGCGTTGACTTCCAAGTTTCGGATTCGGACATCGCTCAGCGGATGCGTGGCCATCCACCAAAAAGAGCGACTGAGCCAGGACTCATACTTGGATATTTTGGCCCAGAAGTGGACGGCCTGGCTGTGGTCCACGCAGGCGGCCGCCGCCAACACCAGGCCGTGCGTGTCGGCTTCCAGTTCTATAAGCCTGCTGCGAGGCAGCTCAGCCACCATATGGTACGCTATCTTGCACAGCACCTTGTACGCGGACAACTCGTAGTTGTTGGACGCGAAAAAGTAGGCCACGGTCAACGGCAGCAGTTCGGCCACGTTGTACAGCCGCCGATGGCTCATCATCTCGGTGGCGTGCCGGAGAATGCAGTGGGCCATCTCGTGAGCCACGCACATGGATAGCTGGTCCGCGTTGTTGGTGAAGTCCAACAGGCCGCGGTAGAAGAACATCGAACCGTAGGGCAGCGCGAACGCGTTCACATCGGACTCGTCCACGACGAACACTCTCCAGGGCGTGGCGCCGGCCATTCCGGGGTTGGCCAAAGCGACTTTATGCACTATCCCGGCCACTTGCCTGTGCCTGGCGCTGTCCTTGGGGTAGAGCAACATACAGAACCGGGCCAACATGTATCTGGTGGACCATTCGTCGATTTCCGCCATCTCGCGATCGGTGTACAGGCTGAGGGTGGCGCGTCCCGTGTAAGGGTTAATGACGGTGTGGCTACGGTAAAAGTCGGTGGCCATGGCCAGCGCCACGGCTGTGGCGAAGCCCAGCGGCAGCGCCGAGCTCTTCAACTTCTCCACGTGCCCAGACCGTTCGGCCTCCGTCAACCGATTCCACCACCACCGCAGCCCCCATCCCACCATCATGGACGTTATGTGCACCGATACTGATATGAGTTCATCACGAAAAACGGCGGCCGGCAACTCGAACATCGCCGAACAGATATCGTCAGTCGCGAATGCCGCCATCAGGCCCGTGGCCGTGGCCATCGTCGCCATGCCACCGTATTGCATCACGGGCCATTTGGCCAACAGCAATGGCCATCCCCGGGCGAACAACCGAAACGCAACCCACTGCCACTGGCCTGTCACGTCGACCCTGCAAGCAATCCGAACCGGTTGACAAAGATTTTGGTGGTCAACGCTTTAGCTAATTACCCGTTTATTTTGAATGGACTCTCTCCTATTAACGTCATGCCCTCCACTCGAATTTCGTCCGGTCGAATTTTAGTCGCAAATGATAATGTTATTTATTCGCCATGCTTACGGACGTATACGGTTTGTAGCCAGTAAATCTCGAAACAACAATTTTCACATGTCAGTTTCGTGAGACAGCCGCCTGTGTGGATTTGACAGTAATGCGGTCGATTTCTGGGGTTAAACATCTGTCAACGGCTCGTTGGCCTTCACGGTCCACATTACCGCATCATTATGCGAAATCCAACGCTGGAAGCTGGAAAAGCGCGTAGCACAGGCTGTTCTGATCAGTAACGTCATCTGCTGTGGAATCTGGACAGTAGAAACTTCATAGGCATATTTTAATTGACATACAAACTCATATGGATTTACTTCGTTCCTGGTTTCTTAAATGGTAAATAATGGCCATCGAGTTAAAATCAGTACTAGTTACTTTTAGGATTCACCTTCAGAACTGTCCCGTCATCAGATCAAATGGATCCTGTATCCCCCACTTTACAAAAGCTATGTACCTTGGCTTAGCACTATACAGGCGTTTAAAAATTGACTGGCTTGAGTACCATACTCATTTCTCAAAGACCAAAACTATCATAAAGCTTGCCAGTCAACTTGTTTACTTCGAGTGCCAATCTCTAGTACAAGCGAAAAAAACCTCGATAATTGTCTCCATCTTATGTCCTATGCTATGTTCAATCATGAACACACAAAATTGTATTTTACTCTACTCATCCTATTTACAGTGAAGCTATCCAGTACAGTAAGTTTACTGTACAGTACTTCTAACAAATTTGCCTTCGTATAATCTCTAAAGTTCCCTGGTTTTTTCACAAATAAACAACTCCTCGATGACCTCAACAAAATAACCATTGACGACACTGCAGCATATTTCTACAATCACTTTCACATCAAACCTCAAAGATATTAAAACAAACACATCAAGAAACTAGAGCCCAAAAAGCTCCCACGTAATCTGAAGCGTCTGTGCGAAGTGGACAGCAAGAAGAAAATTCTAGGACCAAGATATGTTTAATCATCATCATCATCATCAAGTTTAACGTCTATGCAAGTGTATATGGACAGTCAACAGCTGGTATTGAAAATATTTTCATTATATTTTTAATTACAGTGGAGGACAACCCTATTCGTATCGACCCTTGTAATAAAATTATTTAAATTCCTTTAGCATGTTATTATTATTTTGTTTTTAAGAGAAATATACTTACAATCCATACAGTATGCACATTTAACAAATGTGATGAAAGTTATACACATGCCATTCAAATTATCGTTTTTGGGCCAGACACTCAGCTAGGAAATTGTACATTGCACGAGAACAAAGTAAAAATCATGACCTTTACTTAGTTGTCAATAAGTCGTGCAATTTATGCTAACCGTTTCTGTTATAAATTAAAATATTGCCGGTGTGATGCACAACATGCAAATATTGTAATAACAAATATAGTATCATGTTATATATTCGTTAAATTTATACACACATAAAGTATGTGTGTTAAGCTTAGGAATTCACGATATTTTGTACATGGGGTCGGAGACAAAAGACCCGAAAGATCGTCTGCAATTATTTAACGGTGGATTTTCCACTGCGAAAACCGCATGTTGCTCGTCCGCTAAAGTTCTGTGAAAAGTTTTACACAACAATTATAGGGGTTCAATTAATCGGTTTGCACGTTTGGGGAGGGTCCCGAGTTTTGATATAGGAAAATTGGTCTAGCAAACTTTGGGCGAATGTCCGACGAAGGGAACAAATTAATTGCAATAAATTATATCATTCGGGACGAGCAATTGCAAAAGTTTTAATCAGGAACGAATCGCTTGTTTAGCACAATATTTACTGGTGTAAACATCACCAAATGGTATGCAAAAACGTACATCAGATTAATTTATACGACTTGTCGAGTCAAGTAAATTGACTTCGCTAGGGAACCCGTCATTGTTACTGGTTACAAAACTAAGACAAGTAATCGGCAAAAATATCACGAGGTCACAAGTTTTAGTCAAAGTTAAAGCTTTCGTGGATTGAAATTGAATTTGGCTGAGTTTCAGATATGTCCACGTCAATAGTTGTAGGCCGACGTTTCGGACTCTTTACAGAGTCCATTATCAAGGCTGTCATAGTCACGACTGTACCAATGCCGTGACTATACTGATTGCCTCGCTCGTTCCCTACCGATATTTATACGTCTCTTGTACTTGAGGCCGTGTTTTTCTGGCTTTCCCTACATTTAGGCCTGCCTTATCTGCACCTGCAGTTTTCGTTAGTTACTGAAACGGCAGCTTCTATTTGGCTTTGATGATTTAATTTTAATCTGTTCTTTTCTTTTGTTTAGTTGAATAATGGATTTTGATGTGTTACCGATCTTCCAACCATCTTCTCTATTAAAATTTATTGGACACTTTTCGATTTCTGTGGCCTCTTTATACATTCTTTTCCCGAAATTAGCCTCCTTGTCTAGTATTTTGATATTTTTTATGTACGCTCGGTCTCCGTAGTTCGAGAAACACGGTCTCAAGGAAACGAGATGTATAAATAGCGGTAGGGAACGAGCGAGGCAATCAGTTAACAGCCCTGTTGATGGACTCTGCGAGGAGTCCGAAATGTCAGCCTACAACAGCTGTTGACGTAGATACATCTGAAACTCAGCCAAGTTGAAAAAATTACTTCTCAATTTTCAATCAGGTATTTTTAATTGCGACTTCCTTATCTCCAAATAACGATTATCGATATACCTAATATATTTTCTATGGAAGTATTTAATAAACCAAATAAGATTAGAATGAGTAGAGATTCGACGTGGAATAAGCTAAAATATAAAACGGCTGCTATGTAAATGAATAATGTAAGCAGACCATAAAAAAGCGAGCTTAAGTTTATATTTTCATAAAATTACAATAACAAAAGCACTATGGTATAACGAATAAAAATTCATAAATTATATATATTACACCAAAAATAAATTAAAAAATATGCGATATGTTAGGATTTCAGATTGTACAAGTTTTGCTTTATCACAAATAACAGCAGCTTACACAAAATAGTGCTAACATTTTTTTTTTTAATCAAACGAATTTCAATTATTTTAACAGTAATATTAAATTACTATCCAAACCCGGTCGGTGAACTCATTCCCTTTTACCTCTACTCTCCTCTCTTCTCCTTTCCTTTCTTTCCTCGCACTTGACTTTTCCACCACTCTTCTCTTGATGTCGCAAAATTTAGGTTTACAAGAAGGGCGTCATTTTGATTGAAATACTTGTATTTTCCTTATATGCGTTTGGGCACAATTGTTCCAAACGGGTGCTACACAAAGTAGTAAGTTGTTTTGTATAATAATATTAGAAGCAAGCAGTTACAACGTAAAGATGTGTGTTTTTAATGTATAGTGGGTATACTAATTTTGAATGCTAGTAGCCTCGTTGTAGTTTGGAATAAATTTGAGAGTTTTGGGTTGGTTTTTTGTCCCAGATGGTGTCTAAGAATTTCCCCTTTTATACTTAGAATAGAGGGACTTTTAGTTCGGCTAAGAGTGAAAACGAATGTTGTTCATCTCCATTCCAATGCCGACCGGATCCGACTGTTTGTTAAATGTATCGGAATCCGTGTGACTTATCTAACCGATCGGTTTTTTCCGCTATAGCCCGTATGTACGATAATGGGTCGTTCGGATAGCTGCATTCATCGATATGAATAATTAATATTATCAAAGCCGGTATGATATCCGAAACGTTCTAGTCGAGCGATCCGTTTGTGATCCGTTTGTTAACGACATTCGACTGTCTGTGAATAATATAACAATTACGCCTATATGCATTATTTATGTTGCCATAGTGTGTTTCCATCAGCCAGGTTAATATCTGCCGCCGTGGCCTGATAATGGAACGCATGAATTTATGCGTTCACAACGAATTGAATTATTTCTCGCAGAAATTTATTGTAATATTTCACTCCGAGTGCACAGATAAAGCTGTTAAAATATTTTAATATACAGTTTGCGCATTTAAACGAAATGGATTTTACCTGAAATAAATATCGAGCGGGAAGTGACGTCTAGAAAGTGACTTGTTAAAAATGTCTACAACGAAAACGTGTATTAAATAATAATGTAAAAACAAAAGGTAAATGTCTAAACTATCAAAAATCCCTCTTAAACTCTGCTACTCCTCAACTCTGTTGACAACCAACCATTGGGAAGTTTTAGATTAGGCAATTGAATATAGATCAGTAGTAGTCAGGGTGGTAACTTTAGTTTTTATGAAGTTCTATCGGTAGGACGCAGTGACCGAGAGGGTTAATGAAAATCAGACCTAACTCAGCAATTTTTCTTCTATTTGCCACTGTTTTTTAAAAAAAATTTCATATTATATTTCAACGATTCACCATAAAAGTCTGAGTACATAAACAATACACGTTAAAAATTACTCAGAAGAATGGCGCTTGGTGT